TCTCATCCCCCCCACCCCATCCATCCCTCCCACCCACTATCCCCCACACCCCATCCCTCCCTCCCGCTCACCCTCTATCCCCCCAGAACCCCACCTGTCTGTCCTCCCCCTCTATCCCCTGATCCCTGTATCCCCCGGCTCGGGGCCCCTGAGCCCGGTCACCCAGACTCACCGCCCCTCACCTCTCAGCGCCGCGCTCCGCCGCCAGGGGCCGCCCTGGGGAACCCAGCGCCCGGGACCTGCCCTGAGCCGCAGCGGAGTCCCGGACGCCGGGGTCCCATTTAAAGAACCCCGGGGGCTGAGCTCACCCGCATCTCATTAGCCGCTGGCCAATGGGGAGCCCCTCATTAGCATACGGGGGCGGGGGAGGGAATGAGGAAGTTCTGAGGGAGGGGGAGGGATCCGGGGGTCCCCCCACAGCACCCCTCCCCCTCATGGCTCCTGACACCCCCCCCCACGCTGGGGTCGAGTGTGGGGGGGGTCTGGTCTGATTAGCCAAGAATCCAATGACGTCATGGGGGGGTACACGGGGCCTCTCACTGCCCCAGCCCCACATCCCCCAGATGTGCCCCCTCTCCCACCCACCTCGTTCCCACCACCCTTTACTACCCACCCCCAGGTGCTGAGCCCCACACCCCCAACCCTTCCCCACACCACAACTCTCCCCAGCCCCGCATTCCCCTCCCACCCAGCCCCATAACTTCTCCCCTCCCCACACATCGCCCCCTTTCTGCCCCCACCCGCTCCTGTCTCCCTCAGACACCCAGCCCCACATCCCCCCCTCCCACTTCTGGCCCCATCTGCTCATAGTGACACCCCACAACCCCCTCCCCTCACGAGCCTCTGCTTCCCCGGCCCCATAACTCCCTCAGGACAAAGCCCAGGAGGGTCCTTGGGGCACGGGGGGGCTTTGCCCGGGGTGAGGTCAGTCTAAGGAGACACATCACTTAGCAGCAGGGTCCCAAGGGAGGAGAAATCCGGGTGCAGTGGGAAGAGGGGGGGCGACAGGAAGGGAGTGAGTAACAGTCGGGGGGATTAAGTTGAGGGTTTGTAATGACCCAGTCGCCCCCAGGGTCCCCTGGATTTAGACCTGCGCCTGGCTTTCCCCCCCATGCAGCCCATGAAGGGGGCTCGAGCCCACGACCGCTTCTGCCCAAATACGTGTCAGTCTCAACGGTGCCCCAAGAGCCTCCTTGGTTTTGCTGATAAAGACTAACACGGCGACACCCCCCCCCCGAAATCCCTCAGAACAGTGAATCCAGCACTGAACCCCATCACCCTCCCTTCCCCTCCCCACTTCAATAGCAGGGGCTGTGGGTCAGGAGTGAGGGGCACTGGCAGAGCTGGGGGGGGCAGGGCTGGGCTAGCAGGGGCTGTGGGTCAGGAGTGAGGGGCACTGGCAGGGCTGGGGGGGCAGGGCTGGGCTAGCAGGGGCTGTGGTGGGAGTGAGGGGCACCAGCAGGGCTGTGGGGCCAGGGGGCTGTGGGTCGGGAGTGGGGGGCACCGGCAGGGCGCTGGGAGTGGGGTCAGGTCAGGGGCAGGGGGCTGGGCCGGGTGTGTGGGGTGGTTCTGCCTCACAACAGGCCAGGATCAGGTGGGGGGACGTGGGGGGCGGGGGGCTGACAGGGTGAATTGGGCCTGAATGGCCCAGAGAATCCCCCGTCAGGGAGCATTAGAGACGGTGACTGGAGCCATTGTCCCAGCCTCCAGGGTATTAGAGCCCCCGCCC